AGAGAGGCGGGGCATAGAGGACCTACAATAATGTACAGTATTTGAAAAATAATGTGTTTTTTGAACATTAACAGATTAGAGCATTCACACCGCAGGGCGTAGCAGGAGCACAGCAGAAGCGGCAGTGTTTCGATAGTTTCGGCGCCGAGTCTATTTTTGCTGCGCCGCTTAAGCTGAATTAAAGCCACAGTGCATTTTTCTTGATCAAAATTGACCTGATTAACATGAAAAATGACACATTTCACTGTAAAATCATGTGAGGTGTTTCGTGGAAAATACTGAAACAAAATAAAAAGTAAAGATTCTGAAAGCATTGAGGGAGATCCCATAATAAGTTAATATAGATTTACAGTAGTAACAACAAATTATATTTTATTATATGATATGATTAATATGTTTTTAAATATGATGGTTTCATTATAAACATGGTGATTATCTCTAAGGTGGACACCCAACATAATAGGCTATATGATATTTACCATCTGAATCTAACCATGTGTCATGTCAACAATTGGAAAAGTCAGCCATCTATTAATTATCATGTTAATTATTGTGCCTTTCGCCCCAACAGCAGGGGCGCTTTTACCCCAAATACCATACTTTTACATATTCTTCTAGTTATTGAAAAACTGTAGCTTTAATTATTTTAAACCAAACTGATAATCATTAAGAAGACCTTTGTCTCAAAATATATTCAATCACTTTAGCGATTCTCATATTGCCCAAACTTCAAATGCCTGTTTAAATTATTAAAACTAGAGGCATTTATTAACTTTAAGATTACTTTTTATCATGTAAACTATATGTACAGCATGTTATATGCACGTGACAGAGGGGAACACGGCCGCATCACAGCATGCATATCAAAGCACATGACAGACAGTTGCCGGAGAACACCTGAAAAGCGTGACCGAATGAACGATACTCGCCTGTATTTGCAGTACACAAGCCGCGGTTCAGCTGCGCGACAAACGCTGCCAGTGTGAAAGTACAATGGGCGTGCTCTGCATATGCGCCGCTTCTGCGCTGCCTCTGCTCTGCTTATGCGTGCGGTGTGAAACGGGCGCAAGCTTTAAAGCGTTTCATCCAGGTCGCCAGTAGCAAACAAACAATGGAGTACGCTCTGCTGGACAAACTATGTAATTACATCATTTACAAGCATTTTATCTGCGTTTAATCTTCTGTATAAAAATGTTCATATCGGTGGCATATCGGCGGCATATTCGCCGATACTGATATATCTGCGACAAGCTCATATCAGCCGATAAAATCTGCAAAACGATATATCCGCGGCTTTACAGTCTTTCCACTGACAAGAGATCGTCTGATGATTTTGCAAAGGATGTACAGGAGTGGATATTTCACATGAATCAATTAATAATTATGAATGCAAAAAAAAAAGATTCAAATGCGGTCTACGTCGTAGACTTAAAGCACATACAGGAGGTGAATAATAGCCTTTTAAAACAGATTAATTTTCCTGCTTTATTACACTCTATCAAATGTCTATTTTACAATGATGAACCGTCATAATATAATCTGTCCCCCCACAGTTTTGTAAGGAATACTAATCGAACAGAAAATAAAATCGCGATATAGCAGTGTGCTTATCATTTGGAAAAGGATGATTCCACGCAAAGTGCAGTGTTCACGCGCGCAGCTGATGATTGACGTCTCAGAGCGGCTCCATTCAAAGTCAGTAAAACCCGCATGTGCCGTGAGTTTAACCTTCTTATTTTACGACTCCTCCGTATCCAGTTTGTTGCATACATTTTGTTCTTGCATTGATGTTACGTTTGTAGCAATTTTGCACTTTGACAGTCAGTTTGAGATATAATAACTATATAACTATATAACTATTATTGTGTGTATCGGATATTGGACACTATTATATAACAATATAATATAACGATTTGGACACTTTTTGTCATTGAAATGACTTTGAAAAAGTGTCCCAATCAACCTGAATTCACCCCACTCTTTGAAATCATGATTGCATTACAATTTGTTGTTTTAAACCCCAAATATTTTACTTATAACTTCATTATAATTCTTCATTAACAATTACTCAGTTATTTGTAATGTTAATTAAAAAAAAAAAAAAAATTATAATAATAAATTGAAAGTAGTTTCAATGTGCCTAGCTACCTTTTCAGAAGTGTAGCTTGAATGTAGCTTAACTATAATTTACTTTAATTTACGAGTAGCTTGTAGCTGGTCAAGATACAGTTTTAGAGTAGCTTCCCCAACACTGCGGACATGACAAGTGGATAAGATCAAAGAGTCAAAAAGCCATTGTTTTCAATAAATTAGTGCACACCATGGCCGCATATACTTCAGGTAGTCCAACTATTGCAATTAAGAGGCTATAATGTAAGCAAGAGGATACACTGTGTATAGCCAATAGTAAAATAAGTTTGTCCTGTTGTGATTTGACATCTTGGAAAAAAAGCCTTGGCAGCTTTGTCTGAATTTTTAAATACTCCTCCAGGGGATTCGTGCAAATTGCACCAAATATACCAACATTATACTAATACACTGATATGATAAAATCTGTCATGGTCTTGCCATGGTGAGGAATTAAATCAATTGCAAAAAATGAAAACAGGAAGAGGCTCATATAAGTTTGTGTGATTTAGATCAAATTTCAGTCTGAATGCATGGGTTTTTCATTGTCATAACACCGCTAGCTGGCAGCAGGAAAGTGTCGATTGCAACAGATGTTATGAATACGTTCAACCTTTGCATACATTGATGAAATTCGGTAGGCACATCATAACACCTATAAAAAGTTTCTTTGAGCTATACCATAAACCTAACAGGAAGTGAATCATTTTGATATTTCTCTGCAAATATTTTGCGATTTTAAAGTAATATACAAGGTCCAATCTGCACCAGACATCACGTTTGATGAGTCCTGCCCCAAAGACATTCATACATTCCACCCATCCATTCTTTAAACGGCATATCCTCTGTAGGGTTATGAGAGGCCTGAACACATCTACACATGATGCACTCCCCCAACATGCACTAATGCTGTTTGTAGCATTTTTTTTTTTAGTTTGCTTAGTTTCATTCACAAGGGGCTTTTAATGAATGAAGGAATTAGAAAATGCTCTTTCCATGAACTGAACCATGACCTCTTATGAAGAATAGTATTGTGTTGTGTCTTGGCAAGCTCTTTTTATTATGCATTATCTTCTGTAGTTGTATTTATCCTGAAACCTTTACATTTATTTAAGTTTTGCTTATAAAAGTTTGTTATAAAAAAAGTTGTTTAAAATTAATATGTTGATGGCATGTATAGTGTTAGATTATGTACTATACCTACACAGATTTGTCGTAATATGGCTTCCTCTGTTGTATTATTCCCACTTATCAATTCTGTCTCAGTCAGGCTGTCAAATATTAGCATAATGTCATGAGGAGCATATCCTGACTGTTGTCTTGATACCTGCTGATCCTACTTTATCACCCTGTTTGTCCATCTCTCAGGCTGATGAGAGGTATCGTACGAATCTTCAGGGCACCCCTCATGCTGCTCCACCAAAACCCCAAAATCCTTTGCCGCAAGGATCTGAACCGTACACCAATGAAAACTCCTCCACTGAGTCTTCAGGCATGCACAGGCCTATGGAACCACAAGTAACCTGAGAGAACTCACTCCTGTTTTCCTATTTCTCCTCCCATCTCTGTCTTTGTCTCTGTTTAACAGTTGTAAGAAGGATATTCACATTGTTTAAATCTAGAAGTGTAATTTGAATCTGAAACGTGAAACTGATTAACCCTTGCCTAACTGCTAGTTGATCAAACCAGTTGTTAAGACACAGCATAGTGGCTGTTTTTAACAACTGGCCTCGGTTCTGCATCTGGGTGTTAGTTTACCTTGGCACCTAGTTTTATCACTGGGTGAGAGATCTGTTGGATTATTCATTAAATAAAAAAAAACAATTGTGTGTCTGATTGGTCTCACCACTACAGTGTCTAATTGGCAGCAAGAAGAATACAGCTGTCTCTAGTGCACACAAGTGCCATAGCACATAAACAATAAGCTCAGAAACATTAAAGAGAGAATCACAATTCATCGGATAATCATTTTTTTTCTCCCACCCCTAGTAATGCTTACTGTGTCACCTAAGACTCATGATGAAATACGAGACAGACATCATGTGAATGAAACTGAACTGTTAAAAGGTTCTGGATGGCATCATTCTTCTGTCATCTGTGAATTAATAGTCTCTCTCATATTTCACAGTTGCTCACTCATTGACTGCTCAGTGTGTCTACCCTCCATGTCACTCTTACCTGTTGTTCTCTCCCCCTATCTGAAAGGTCCAGTGGTCTCACTTAGCTGCTCTAAAGAGCAACTCATCTGCACCCTATGTGTCTTGCTCCCAGTCCTTCAGTGATCCTGTTCCTAGTTTTGCACATCTTCATCTTCGCTCTCAGGATTCCTCTCACCAGCACCACCCAGTGCACCCTCCATACCCTGACCACCCACAACCTCCTCAATCCAGGGGCCATGAGGCCCCTGAGCAGACTATTGATGAAGAGGTGCCCCCGAGGGTAAGAAAAGGGACCATGGATTAATTTTTAGAGACATTTGTCTGGCACTAAGTGGTACTATGTTGAGTACATTTACCTATTCACCCATACCTCTGCAATTGTATAGGCTAAAATCTTGTTTATAATACCTTGTTAAAAGTCAAATTAAGATGTTTTCATGAAACCTGAGAGATTTCTGTCCCTCCATTTAAAGTCTATTCAACTAAAACTTTAAAGCTTCAAAAAGTTAATAAAGACAGCATAGAAGAATTAATATGAATTGAGTGTTTTAATTCAAGTCTGCTAAAAAGACATGATCGCTCAGTATGATGAACACATCTTATTTAGGCTTTTATTCACATATAAATAATGCAATACTTGAAAATGACCACTAGGTGTCAGAGACGGTTGTTGAATTGTTCTGAAGCCTCGGCACATTTGCTTCGACTGTTTCAGTGTTTCACGAAGCCTCGCTCTGCCCACCACTACTGTCAAAAGCATGCCAAACCAACAGGTGGTGATATAATCTCAACCGTAAAGCCATGTTGTCCAAATCAGAAGCCTGAAAAAGTTTCCAGTAGGCGGAGATAACAGCGCATGCTCCGACGTCACAAGCCAAAATCTCTGGTTTCGCTGTCTGCACGATAACACTGCAACCGGAGTTTTTTAAAATCTTCACCCTGGCAGGAGTTTTCAAAAATGTTCGGTTTCAGTGACCTGGTGCTGCGTTTGCGTTTGGACGAACGGCCAAACCGCATAGAAAAAGCTGTGGTTTTGAATGTTCGTGTGGACAGGGCCTTAGTTTGAAAACTCCGGGGTTGCGTTTCAGTGTAAACGGACCAAAACGGAGACTTTTGAAAACGATGGCGTGGATGCCCACATTCTCTCTGCGTATCCTTGACGACCGTGTAAACAATAACATCATGCTTATTGTTGTACCCATAGATATGTATAGGTAGATTCCCCATTCGACCACTCCAAGCACGTAGACATGTCCGCCATCTAAATAATAGGGAACTACCTATACATATCTATGGTTGTACCTGCATGAATGGTCATGTGACATGCATTTTCGGTTGTGTAGTGTAGACTGAGATCGTTTCCAAAATGCAGTGAAAACGTCAGTGTAGACGAGGATAATTTTCATTTTAAAACGCCGTTTTAAAGCGAAAACGCACTAGTGTAAACAGGGCCTTAGTATCAACTGTGCCAGCTACATAGCTGCGCCTTAGCAACCACCCAGAACACACTATCAAGCGCATAACCATTCCAAAGCAACCATTCAGAACTCCCTAGCAACTGCATAGTGACTCCCTAGGAACCACCTAGAACACTTTATCAACACCATAGGAACACCTTGGAAAATACTCAAAACACATAGCATAACATAAACTCGCTCTGCCCACCACTACTGTCAAAAGCATGCCAAACCAACAGGTGGTGATATAATCTCAACCGTAAAGCCATGTTGTCCAAATCAGAAGCCTGAAAAAGTTTCCAGTAGGCGGAGATAACAGCGCATGCTCCGACGTCACAAGCCAAAATCTCTGGTTTCGCTGTCTGCACGATAACACTGCAACCGGAGTTTTTTAAAATCTTCACCCTGGCAGGAGTTTTCAAAAATGTTCGGTTTCAGTGACCTGGTGCTGCGTTTGCGTTTGGACGAACGGCCAAACCGCATAGAAAAAGCTGTGGTTTTGAATGTTCGTGTGGACAGGGCCTTAGTTTGAAAACTCCGGGGTTGCGTTTCAGTGTAAACGGACCAAAACGGAGACTTTTGAAAACGATGGCGTGGATGCCCACATTCTCTCTGCGTATCCTTGACGACCGTGTAAACAATAACATCATGCTTATTGTTGTACCCATAGATATGTATAGGTAGATTCCCCATTCGACCACTCCAAGCACGTAGACATGTCCGCCATCTAAATAATAGGGAACTACCTATACATATCTATGGTTGTACCTGCATGAATGGTCATGTGACATGCATTTTCGGTTGTGTAGTGTAGACTGAGATCGTTGTGAAAACATCAGTGTAGACGAGGATCGTTTTCATTTTAAAGGGCACCTATTATGCCCCTTTTTACAAGATGTAATATTGGTCTTGGGTGTCCCCAGAATGTGTCTGTTAAGTTTCAGCTCAAAATACCCCACAGATCATTGAATGGTCATGTGACATGCATTTTCGGTTGTGTAGTGTAGACTGAGATCGTTGTGAAAACATCAGTGTAGACGAGGATCGTTTTCATTTTAAAGGGCACCTATTATGCCCCTTTTTACAAGATGTAATATTGGTCTTGGGTGTCCCCAGAATGTGTCTGTGAAGTTTCAGCCCAAAATACCCAACAGATCATTTATTATAACAGCTGGAAAATGTTATTTTTGGGGTGTGTCTAAAAAAGAGCTGTTTTGGAGTGTATCGCTTTAAATACAAATGAGCTGCATATTCCTGACCCATCTCCAGAAGAGGGCGCCGCGTATACGTCTCTCTGCATTGCATATCTACAGCAATAGACAGCCGGTAGAAGCAACATAACTGAGAGCAAGAGAACCGGGGTTCAGCTGTACATATGGGAAGTCAAATGTACTGAAACAGCGCGATGTTACAGAGCTCGCGCCGCGCTGACCTGTCATCGGTGCAGATCAATGGACCGAGCCGTGTTACTGAACGAATCTCGTGATAAGAACGGCGCCAAATAAATTTAATCTCACAAGCGCGGCGCTTGTCAGTTAAAAAATACTTAATGTACGCACACAAATACGGTTAAAACGCTAAGCACTATAACGATATGGCATTCACAAAGGAGTCTGGAGTGATGCACGTATTTAGGTAGATTTTGAGGCGCATTACCTTGAAAAATGAAAGTAATCCACTGCGTCCTCAGCAGCTCGGATGTTGGGAGAAAATGAAGACTCTTATGTTCATTCTTACATGCTAACATTCATCTAGAGCAGTGTTTCCCAACCTTTTTTTAGTCGCGGCACCCTTTGGAAATTTTAACAAACTTGTGGCACCCGAGCGTCACACCCATAGAGTCACACAACGTGAAAGTGAAACCTGAGCGGTGAACTAATTTTCGGCAGCCGAAATTTCGGTGCATCTTTAATTATTGGCGACATCAGAAATTTAGATTATATAATAGATGCTTTTTTGAACATTTTAGCAATTTAAAAATATTAAAAAAGGATTTTTTACACGGCACCCCTGCTCTCGACAGATGGCACCCCAGGGTGCCGTGGCACCCCGGTTAGGAAACACTGATCTAGAGCATTGGGATTGCTTGCAAGACATTGTTGACGTTACAGCTGCTCGAGCACGGAGAAAATGGAGGACAGCGTAGAACCGCTGAGGCCGGAAACTATAGCAATGCAGGGCTGTCAATCAACCCCCGTGGCCCGGCCCTATACAATGTGACGTCACACTGCATGAGAATCAAAACGGCAGGCCTAGTGAGACTGACTTGGTTTAAAGGAGATTAAAAAATGATGAGTGGGTGGATTTTTATCATTGTAGGGTGGTTGTGTTCACACACTGCCAACACACATTTATGTCCAAACACCATGTAAAAGTGGAGTTTGCATAACAGGTGCCATTTAAAACGCCGTTTTAAAAACGAAAATGCACTAGTGTAAACAGGGCCTAATAATCACTCCACTCCAGCTCTGCTCCGTGTTCACCATTTCACACTTCCGCTCCACTCCTCGCTCACTGATTTCAGAAACACCACTCCGCCTTCGCTCCACATCTAATGTATTTCAGTATGTTTGGAATATCACAGTTCTGTTCATAACGTATATTAAAAGAAAAAAATAAAAGAAATAAAAATAACAGGAGAGTTTCAGACTTATTGTAACACCAGTGTGCAAACTTTTTTCCTACCACATGACAAGTTAATATCATGGTTGTCAGCATTAAAAGGTATCATTGCTGCTTTTTGCAGTGCAAATATTTGTGATGAAAATTTTCAACAGTTATTTTACATATGGATCGCTGCATTTCTTATAGATTTCTGCTCATTCGAAATCAGATACAGAGATGAAGTAGCACTGTAAGATTACATTTGTTTGAATGCATTATTGAGAGAGCGATTGCGTGTGAATAAGTGTTGTAATGTGTACCTGTTTAAATCATGCTTTCACCTGAAAATATTCAGTATCTAGAAGGAACAACAAATTCCTTGAGAACTATAACTTCCTGCTCATGTCCATTGCCATCATCATAGCCTTCACATTCTTTCTGATTTGAGTGATCCTTCTCTATCAAACTAGCTAAATATGTTTAACGTGAATTCTTGCTAAATATGCAGTTATATTACGGCATGAATTGTACTCATGATGGAGCGGTGGTGGAGCACTCTTGGAGCAAATGTGAAAACCACGACGCTCCGACTTTTAAAAAATCTGCTCCTCATACGCTGCTCCTGCTCACATACTCTGATAGCCACAGAAGCAGGGTTGCCAGGTTTTCACAACAAAACCTGCCCAATTGCTACTCAATCTAGCCCAATCGCATTTCGAGGGGAGTCACCCGGTAAAAATCGTGTTCCGGGGGGTAAAATACAAGTTTTTTTGGTGGGGTTCCCCTGGTAAAATTTGCATTCCAGGGGCTAAATATCACGTTATTGGGGTCGCTTCAACCTGCAAACATGAAAAACAACCAGCGGCAACCGTGTTAAAGTAGCCCAATTCCGCGGACTTGGCAACACTGCACAGAATGTTTTTAAAAATAAAAAAAGATTAATACTGGCACATATGAGATGGTCCTTATGCCGTATTCCAAACGAGGTTGGAAGTGAGAACATCCGAGTTGAAATGTCCAGTCAATCACACTTCACGTTAACACATTGACCTCATGATGTCGGCATGACACAAGGAGAGCATTTCATGTTTTCGTGATGATTAGGCCAAAAACAGTAAAAAAAAAATTACAATAAAATGTTGTTCATTTTGAAAACTGACGAAGAGCAAAAATTAAGGTATCATTTTATAAACTTAATGTGTAATGTTTTTAAGTTTGACACAAGGTAGCTCCAAACTATGCTCGTTGGAAGCAGTGATGTCAAATGACACATCTTGTTGAAGTCGAGATTGATCGATCTCCAAAGTTCACAGGTCGGATGTCTGACTTCAAGCAGTGTTCTAGATGTTATTTCCAAGTAGGAGGTGGGAAAAATCTAAATTTCGAGTTGTCTAGAACGCAGCATTATGCTATTGCAATATACAACCTTAAAGGGGTCATATGATGCGATTTAAATTTTTCTTTTCTCTTTGAAGTGTTACAATCTCTTGGTGCATAAAGAAGATCTGTAAAGTTGCAAAGACTAAAGTCTCAAATCCAAAGAGATATTCTTTATAAAAGTCAACCATGCCTACCTAAAACGGCTCGTTCTAACATGCCCCCACATGTCTACATCACGATGTGGGAAGATTTGCATAACGCTGCCCAGATGTTCACGCAAAGAAAGAAGGCGTAACTTTTATTCTCACTGTAGTATTGTTACAGTAGTATAGTATCGCCGCCGCTGCCATACCTTGGAGGCACTGTGTTTCGTTGTGAAAGCGAAACTACTTTGTTTGGCCTTCCAAAAGAGGGACGATATCCGCTACGTCATGCCTAGAGCTGATCCGTGCTGGTCGCTGGTCAAGCTCACCGGCCTCCGCTCACTCTAGGCCGCCGCCGCATCTGACGCTGTGTTTCGTTGTGAAAGCGAAACTACTTTGTTTGGCCCAAAACCTGCTATACATGAACAAATTTAAAGACAAATTTAATATGAAGGGTAGGGTTTGTTTAGGGTGCAACAACAAGGACCTAAAACACTGTTTAACTGTGTTAACATTTATCACCAACACAACATCAAGAATGGTTCTTTTAAATTTGCCATGTTTGGTAATTTTCTCCACTTTTTAAAACGGCTTGATCCTCAAAATGCTGCTTAATAATAATTTGTGCTAATTGCTTCAAAATCAAATGCAATATAATATGTATGTAATATTAACAAGATCCTCTTCTTACTTTCCTGCAAGGTGCCAATAAGAACAACATCCAGATCTCCTGTGTTGTCCCGTCAAGATTCTCCATTACAACATGGGCTGCATAACAACCAAGCTGGACAGAGGAATGCTGGAATGTGTGATCTTTGTTAACATAATTTCTATGCAGAATATTCACCTCTGAAGTTACATGTACAAGTTTATATTTCTCAGGACAATTTCAGTAATTTTGTCTTTTGACCTCTCATCCCCTTAGTAACGTGGAGCCACGGCTGCTGTGGGAGCGAGTTGAACAGCTCTCATCTAGACCAGGTAGTGGGAGTTCTTCTGGCTCCAGTAACTCCAGCTCTCAGACTGGATCACAGGCCACCTCAGGGGAGAAGTTCAGGGTCCGTTGTGAGTATTATTATTATTTTTTTAAATAACACACTGACATACAAACTAATTCAACACTTTAATGCAGAAGTGTCCAAACCTGGAGGGTCACTGTCCTGCAGTGTTGAGCTCCAACCCTAATTAAACACACCTGAACCAAAGTAATCAAGGTTTTCAGACTCACTCCCTGGCTGCTTCCGAAATCGCCCCCTATACCCTCATTCACTATTCCCTACATTAGGTCACTAATTCAGTTCACTAGAAGGAGTGAATGAAAACGAGTAGTGAATTCGGACACTGAGTGCACCGGAAGGAATGCTGCTTTTGCATAGTTTGTGCTTGCTGTTTATTAATCATTTGAAACTAGCAAACTAGCAGCTCCAGTAGTAAGATTAAAGGATTTATCTTGAACTCTGTCACGGAAATTATGTATAAACCCTAATCAAACAATTTAATAATCAATTTACAATGAATTTATACCCGTGTTGTACATTATGCTGTAATGCCATGGATGAGCGCTTTGTAAAAATGAATGGATTGATTATTCAGCTGCAGGCGCCATCTCCCTGTGTCCGAAATTGCCCCCTATACCCTTAAATATGGCACTATTTGAGCGGACAGCCATTTTTAGAGCTGTCAGAAACCTTAGTAGACATTATCGAATGCACTCATTTAATTCCAAAACGCACAAAAATAATGAGTGTACAACTGATGTATGCTCAAAGACTAGAGAATACCTATAATGCACTGTGAGAATCACACGCCGAATGAATTGCTGCGTCTTGCCAGAAGATGGTGCCTGCAGCTGAATCATCCATCCATTCATTTTACAAAGAATTTGTCCACGGCATACAGCATAATACAATGCAGGTATGAATTAATTGTAAATTGATTATTAAATTGTTTAATTAGGGTTTATACATAATTTCCATGACCGAGTTCAATGTAAATCCTTGCTACTAGAGCTGCCAGTTTGCCAGTTTCAAATGATTATTAAACAGCAAGCACAAACTATGCAAAAGCGGCAGCCCTTCTGGTACACTCAGTGTCCGAATTCACTCGCTCGTTTTTATTCACTCCTTCAAGTGAACTGTATTAGTGGCCTAATAGGGAATAGTGAATGAGGGTATAGGGGGCAGCCACTAGAAACTTCCAGGCAAGTATGTTGGAGCTGGCTGGGACTAAACTCTGCAGGAATACTGGCCCTCCAGGAGCAGGATTGGACACCCCTGCTCTTATGTCATGAATAAAAAGTAAAAATGAAACACAGACATACTGTAATCTTTAATTTTTAATACTGTAATCCCAAATTGGTGCTTTTTGTATGGTGGAATTTAATCATTGATGGTCAACAGCAAAATTGTAAATTGGTAAATGCATTGTCATTTGCGGTGGCTATAAGGCAGTCTGAGCGGGGTTTTTATTTTATAGTGTTTCTTGAGGTGCACCCATAATGCTAGTAGGAATTTATATAAAAACTGTCATCATTTAGAAATAAAAGGCCCTTTTCTTACCTAAATTTAGTCCCTTTGATTTAAACGCTGTTTCAAAAGGCTGTGTCTCCTTTAAGACCTTCATGTAAACGCCCACTTCTAGCGTTTCACACTTGTTGTTGCTGTTGTTGTTGGGGGGGGGGGGGGGTCTGGACGTGTCCCACCCGTCTACCTGAAAATGACTCTTGTGCATTATCACTCTCTCTGCAGCCTCTTCAAAGTCTGAGGGCTCACCAATGCAGCTGCCAGAGATTGCTGGGAAGAAGTCAGAAAAGAAGAAAGACTTTGTAAGACCAGCTAGACATGCTGTAAGTAACTGCTGTCCTGAATGTCAAATCATCTGATTTGTTGGTGTGCAGACATGTCAAAAAGGCCTCATATTCAAACAGATTGTTTCTATTGAACTAAATGATAGACACATTCACATTTAACATTTTTACTCTGGGTGTAGCTCTCTCTTCCTCTACTCCTTTTGCATTATTTTATGTTTTGGAATTTTTAGTACTGTCCATGGTGTTCTTCACCATGATCATCTTCACCATTAATCAATCAAGCAATCCCACTGACAATTTAAACTAGGTAGTGTGGTGAGTTGGGGATGCAAGTCTCTCTCTTGAAACCAACACGGAAGTGACTAAAACTGCTATTCATCGACTGGCCGCTAGAGACTGGCTCCAAAAGGGAGTCAGTCCCATAGACTCCCCATGTTAAAAAGGCCAACTTTACAGCAGAAAAAAAAGTTTACAATGTTCGCTAACATTAAAGGATGCAAGACATACTTAGCCTATTGTTTTTACATCGAATTGAATGAAAATAGCTTACCCTATAAGAACGACTTGTGGATTGATGTGCACACCAGCAGGAATAATGCTCAGAATGATTGTGAATTAAACATCTCCGATGACGTTCATTGCAATGGATTTGATCAAGTTACAAGAAAAGGTAGGAAAAGGCTTTAATTGCGAACTGTTACTGGTTTTATGTGTGATACGCTGTCACGGCATTCGACTCCTCACACATGCAGAAGTGTGCAGCCCCAGACTGACAGTTGACACTGAGTGAATAGTCTGCATTATAAAAATGTATTTTTTTTGGCTTAGTGTTATGTTAGAATCATTATTATACTCTTATACCTTTTGTTCTGTAATATTTTGAATTGTTTTTAGCTTTATTTCTTGTTTTTCATTTAAATGTTAAGTTTTGAAATTTTGTATTTGTCATTTTTATTTAATCTCTTTATTTTTAACATGTGTATAGGTAGTATTTATAAAGTTTTAGCTGTTAGTTTTGGATCTGTTTTTAGTTGTTTTAATACTACAATTGATTGCTTCTGTTGTCCTCATTTGTAAGTCGCTTTGGATAAAAGCGTCTAATAAATGACTAAATAAAAATAAAAATAAATAAATAAAAATAAAAATAAAAAATTCCTTGAAAGATTATTTATGATTAATTATTGTTGCCAAGTTATCTAGTCGTTGCTTGTTTACAGTGCTGTTATATGGAGCAGTTTGTTAGATCGCGATCTATCTAATTTGTTTGTCTAATGAAGGGCCGACAGATGTATGAAAGTACACACAAGTCACACCGTAATTTCAATGCGGCAGAATTTAATGGACAGTAAAACAAAGGCAGAATACCATATAACTCCAGGCTAGCACTGTAATATTAACAAACGGCTAAATAAATGCAGAGCACCTTAACTTAATTTAACTGATGTGTTCTGCCTTGGTTTCTCCGGAGCTTTTCTCCAAGATACTTCAAAGTTGTTAATAAATAATTTTCGACCAAAACCGAAGTTATGGTGTTTTGTCTATGCATGGCAGCACTACTGTCACTATAGACGGGCGTGGTTTCAGCAACTTTTTTGCCCATTTTCGATTATCCGGGAGTGATGCGCGGTGATGCGTTGCCAAGATGGCAGCGGTCGGCTCTCCGCCCACTTTAGGCTTCAAAAATGCTCTTCGGAAATCTAGGAGTGACGTCACGGACACTACCTCCATGTTTTTTACAGTTTATGGTTGGATGCCATGTCTGCACATATCATACCTGCAAACTAGTCGCTTTTCGCCGTTTTGAATCAAAATATGTCATTTATGCAGGGCTTAATTTGTGCCGGAACAACCCGGATCCTGATCCGGCACCTCCGAATTTGTCCGAAAGCTGATCCGGCACCTCATTTAACAGATCCCCTCCTCATGCGCCAATGAAAGACGTTTGTGTTGACCTATAGCGTGTATATATTTAATGAAAAAAACTTCTATTATGAGCAGGCTTGCCTAGAATCTACATTTGAAACAACAAACTTGAGCGCGCAAAGAGATGCGACATGGCTGCTCTCACAAACCCGAATGCACGGATCCAATACTGATACACATGCGTTTTCTTTCTCAGATGTGCAGACTGTGCCTACGAGGATAATCGCCAGGACGGCCATTTTGACGTCATTTTTTGTGTGTATTTGGCCTCGTAAGCACAACAAGCTGCGAAAATAACTCAATTTGGTACTTGCCAGGTGCGCGATATGCGCGCTATGGATGTGACTGTGAGCGCATAGGAAACCAGGGCCGTGCACAGACATTTTGAGGGGCAGTGGCCCAAACCAAAAAAGGGGCACTAGGGGGGTGGGTGCTTGTTAATACAAATTATCCAGGTGTTACAAATATACAATTAAAAGAGAAGACAGCACACTCTGTTTTTTCAGACTTCATTGTAGATGTTTTGATAAGAATGGGCTCTCCCTCACACTCTGAGCCTGCTTCTGCCTCATCTTCAATGGAAGTAGGGGAGAGTGGGGTAAGTTGAGCCAGTGGGTAAGTGGAGCCACCCCCCCGTTTCTTGGCAACTGTACGCTTTTACTGTCATGTGACCATGTTTTTTGGAACCACCCATTATTTCTGCCAGACTGTGAAAAGGAGAAACACATGGGGGGGAATGGAAGGCACCCATTTACTTAAAAAACTGTTGTTGGCTTGTCAAAGTAAAATTTTAGCATAACAGATGTAATGGTTGTTACATCAAAGCAAATTTATCCAGGTCTAAAAATATTTATGATACATATAGGTGATTTAGCAACATATAAAACCATGCAAATCATTTAGCTAAATGTTAGCCTGAACTCGTAAGAAACAGTAGCTATTTTTTCCAAAATGTCAGCTATGGGGCAAAGTGAGCCAAATGCTGTGGGGTAAATTGAGTCAGCATTTTAACTTAACCCACCATAAGGCACTGTAGTTAAGTTAAATCTCTGAATTATAAACTGGTGTTTTAATGTGATATTACTGGTTTAGTTTATCATATATACATATTTTATAGTTTATTTGATAGGGACAGTGTACAAGTGCACCAAATCCTTCCCTGATAAGAACCAGAAAATGCTTTTCATCGCATTATAATCAGATATATCTTTCCACCTGTAGTCCCTAATGGCCAACCAACTCTCTGTTTAGTCTGTTTTTAGGAAGGCTACAACTTTAGTGGTCAACATATTGTTTCAGAAATGCAAACAGTTAAATATTGAAATGTAATCTTCATTTGGTTGGTTTTATGTTGTAAAAGTTAACTTCAAATTATTCAAATTACAAAGGAAATTATTAAATTAGTTTTTTAATTATTATTTATTTCACATGGGTTTGAATCAGATTTGGTCAGATGGTCATTTTACACCCAGATGGTGCATCTTACCCACTGACTCGACTCGGGTCAACTTACCCCTAACCCGGGGCAAACTGAGCCATGGGAACACTTTTATTATAAGAAGCCATATTTTTAGAACCCTTTGTCATATATACATTCTGATCATTTAAAATGATAGGAATAGCCTACATTCATTAGGATAGGATAGGATAGGATAGGATAGATACTTTCATTGTACTTCTGAATCATTTTAACTTATCTTGAGGACCACATAAGTAAAAAGTGTCCAATCTTACCCCACTCTCCCCTATAAGTATTAGACATTTAATTTAATATTTTACAGCATAAATCTATATTATATACTAATAAACAACTAATTTAGAACATTTTTCTTTACCATTTATAGGCCTACTATTAATATGGTTTTAATAAAATAGTATCTAGTACTAGTATCAAGACAAGTGATTATAATGGGAAATATACTTAATTACAAGAATTAAAGTGTGACAAACTGCTAAATATTCTATATGATGATTTACCTGCTGGCTTGCTGGAGCTTTGAATTCGTGTTTGCAATGTTGAACTGCCTTTAGCAGCCTCGCTTCGCTCTTTCTTTTTTGCGAAGGCATTTTTATATATTTTTTTGTCTACAAAGTGTGCCAACAACAGCGAATTTTGTGTTATTTATATTAGATCTGATCGGGTACAATAATTTGATTAGACATTCTAATTCTAAGACCGTGGATATTTTGTTGTTATCACTTTTAAAAGACCGAGAGCAAATCATTACCGACAGAAATACAGAAACAAACCACCAAATTACTAATTCAGCGAATCATCCACTGACTATTATGTGGATTGTAATGCATCTACGGTCTACCTGTTAATGCAACGACATTGGGTACTGTGGTCTCCCCTCTAGGGATGGGCGATACCACTTATTTTGTTTTCGATACGATACCGATATTTTTCAAGGCAGTATCGTCGATATCGATACCGATTCGATACTTCTGAACTAAACTTTTAAATTATGAAATTTATTAAATTATTAAATTACTAAGAGTAAAATGGGTAATGATAAGCACTTAACTTTATGTTTAAAACGCATTTTAACATTAAATATGCCTTAATTGTAACTTATTAGGTTATATTTTTGTTAGAAAGTGTGCCAACAACAGCGAATTTTGTGTTATTTATATTAGATCTGATCGGGTACAATAATTTGATTAGATATTCTAATTCTAAGACTGTGGATATTTTGTTGTTATCACTTTTAAAAGACTGAGAGCAAATCATTACCGACAGAAATACAGAAACAAACCACCAAATTACTAATTCAGCGAATCATCCACTGACTATTATGTGGATTGTAATGCATCTACGGTCTACCTGTTAATGCAACGACATTGGGTACTGTGGTCTCCCCTCTAGGGATGGGCGATACCACTTATTTTGTTTTCGATACGATACCGATATTTTTCAAGGCAGTATCGTCGATATCGATACCGATGCGATACTTCTGCACTAAACTTTTAAATTATGAAATGTATTAAATTATTAAATTACTAAGAGTAAAATGGGTAATGACATGATCAGTATTATCTTTCAACGTTCAATTTAAATAACTGTAATTGCACAAACTATGTAGGCTACAATTTCAGTTTGTTTATTGTGA